CAAACTCAAACAAGATTTTATAAAAAGAAATAAAACTATTCAAAATATTAGATCTTATAATAAGGGACGGAGGGAATATGTAATTATTTCCAATGCGATTAGTTAATTTCTGCTGTTCAAGACAACTTTAAACAGAGCTTGTCAACCACCAAAATCAAGCATAATTAAAGGGATCAATTATTAAAGAGGAGAGAGATTCTGCTGAGTGCTTTCCTCTAATCATGAGCACAAAGGAAATTTTAACACGGTGGGTTTAACTTGTCTTGCATCATGAGTAAATTTTAACACTGCTTGATTATCTTGATGAGCCGTCCTTTCTAATTTTCTCAATGTACTCTCCCGTTCCTCTGCAGTTTTGGAACGAGGAAATGAACCCATAGTGGTAAAGATCAGTTTACTGGGTTGCCTTGGGCATAAACGCCTGGTATTTGAACTAGTTCTTTATGTTCACTTTTATAACCATCTGTGTGGTAAGCTGAGTCTTCAAGAGCCAAATGAACGCCAACTGAAAGAAAATTTACCATTTTCACATTGGAATACGTTTCATTTCCATGATAACCACTATCCCTTTATTTTATTTTATTCTTCGCATTGGAAAACTTGAGGATGCGTTGATTATGGTTGTCGTGAATGAACCAGATATATTTTATAGATACCAAAGCTATTGCAAGAGTCAAACTAAATAATGCTACTTCCATCCACTGATGACGGAAAAATGGTGTGGTAGGATCCATTGTGTCTGAACGGACATTATGGATCATCTAGAAGAATGATTACCACAATAACTATAATAAAACAGGTTGGCTTTCCTAAGTTATGGCACGTTTCGTTTATGCTCTGTTTTCAGGTCTACTTTGTTCTCGTCTACAAACTTCAGTATGTGAATCAGAATCAGTTCAATGATATTCAACAACTTGCATCGAAATCTCACTTGGAAGGAGCCATAGTTCATGCTCTGTTTTCTTTGCTCTGTTTTCATCTACAAACACCAACACGCTCATTCGTTAAAAGCAACTTAGTTTATTCACCTGCGAAGATTTTCATTAATGATTTTATATAATTATTATTTCCCTGGAATTGAATAACCCAACTGATAAAAAAAACCTCGAAATTCACTTCATTAAATATTATAACAAATAGACATTTTACAACATTCATACACACCACATGCTCTGCTTATGCGAATCAGAATCAGTTTAATTATATTCAACAACCTTGTGAAATTTTTCCAGTAACTATTCAACGGGTCTAGTCATTTCGTCAATTCCATTTATATCTTTTAATGTTTACTGACAATATTATACATACCTTCCAGTTTTGTGGCGGCATTAGGGACAATTTCCTGAATTAAACTATTCAATTCATTCCTATTGGACGAGGGGGGGGGGGGAATTTGCCAACGAAGAGAAAAATAAACATAGTAAACCGTGCAGAAATATTTTAGGAAAAGTCAAAAGTCACTTTGATGAAGGAATGGCTTTGGTGAGTCACAATGGCACCTTTGTGGGGTTCGATATAAATATTTTCTTATTTTCGAATCATCACAACCATTTTATTTAGGAGTTGTTTGGATATATACAAATCATAGTTTGGAAAATAATTTCAGAGAAAAAATGATTTTGAGAATAGATTTTTGAAAAAATAGATTTTGTAAAAAAAATGATTTTGATCAAGTGAGAGTGTTTGGATAGTTAATATCATAAGTTTTTTTTTTATATACAAATTATCAAAAAATATATAAGTTAATGTGATAATTGCATAAAGATAAATTTTAATTTATATTTTCATTTGAAGTGATAAATTTGCTAATAATCTAAATTTGTGAATACAATAAATAAAACATAAAAAATATAATTAACTGTTAATATGTGTATATGTATTTATAAAATATAAGATTAAAAATATTTTTTCAGAAGAGCAAAGGCGAAGAAATTTTCAGAAAAGAGGTGAAGTTTGTGATTCAATTTAGTGAGTGTTGTTATCATATACTATTGGCTGTATTGTGACAGGACATAATTATTACTTTAATAACTCAAAATTTACTTCCAAAAACAAAAATTTCCTATTTCTTCACAAACCTAGGTTTTGGGTTCCAAGTAGTTTTGAGCCAACCAAGGTTTTCTAAAAAATTTGGGTGTTTGGCAATTATCTGGCTTAAATTATGGTTTATGGTGAAAAAACACTTTTTTTTTTAAATTGCTAAACACCCTCTTAATTAATTTACTAACAAATATTCAAAACCCAATGAATAAGACCATTCTTTCTGACATAAAATTTAAAAAATAAATCCTAGTAATTAGATACAAACACAACTACGCTTGGATTATGACATCCATCTCCACTGCTATTGAGATAATTATTACTCCCTCCTCACTTTATTATAAGCTTCTAATGATAATTTTATATAAATTAATAAAGTTGGCTAAAATTAATTATTTAATGTAACCATCAAAATTACTTTCATAAAAAAATTAATTACATAAATTTGATTAATTAATTAGAAGTTTTATAGTTAGTTAGGGATGTTATGTGAAAAAAATTAATGCTTTAAACAAAATATGTTATATTAAGGACTCTGTCATTTCGACCAATTAAAAAAAAGGAATGTCGTTTGTTAAACGAGTTGATCGTGGTTGCTGGAAGCTTCTGTCAACTGTTGATGTCTGTATAATTATGCCTCTGCAAGAAACAAATAGTTCTTCTATTCTTATTATTCGCCTGAGCATCAAAGTCACATAGTTTTTGTAATCTTATATTTTTTAATTTCATTACTTCAAACAACAGGAAAGCACCCTGCAATAAAAGAAAGAGCCAAGGAGAATCAAATTCTCAATATTAATCCGGTGATAAAACACCAACTATGCTTATCTGTAACTTGCATTCAAATTTTGTCAAAAATGATTTGGAAAGTATCCTATGAAGAAGAAAGCAAACAAAACAATATTATATTATCACTCTAGAACTCTACTATTCATATATACAAATTAAAGTTATGATAAAAGAAATAAGGAGAATCACAAATAAAGACCCTCCAATATGCAAAATAACAGATAAGTCATTTGAATAAGTGAAATTACTCACAATGACCGGGTCTCAAATTGCCATTATGAAATCATGGCCAAATTACCAAAATATCTCAAATTGCCAGACACTTGATCCCCCAACCTCACTTTCCCTACTATTTAAAAAAAAAAAAGTTCTAAAAAAAAAAACAAAGGAAGGCCGTCGGTGCCGGAGCTCCGGCGGCCGGATGAAAAAATATATACTCCTCCGGTCCTAATTATAAGACCCAATTGATTTATTTGAAGAGATTAAGGAAGTAAGTTAAGTTGGTTATTTATAATAAATAAGTGTTGTCATTCCTAAAATATCATTGCTAATTAAGTATATTAGCTAAAACTATCATTATTAGAAGGATTATTTTGAAAAAAAATACATAAATATAAGAGATAAAATGGATTGGAGTCTTATAATTAGGACCAAATAAAAAGTCAAATGGATTCTTATAATAAGGACCGGAGGAGTATGTTGATGAAAAAATATATATATTTATATATATACACGTGTGGAATATAGCTATTGATCATATAGATGAATCACGTATTTGAAGAAGTCTATCAAACATGGTGTGACAACGCCGTATGTTGTTGGCGGAAAAAAAAAAAAAAAGACAACGCTGCATGTGACAAAATCAACTTTTTGGGACTGTTCCGAAAAGATACTGTTGGAAGACAACAGAAACGGAGCAAACGTGGGCAATTTTTTTTTTTAATTAGATTTACTTAATATGTTAAAATAAAAAGGAAAAAAAATCGAAGGTACTAAGAAGATGAACGGTATACCAATTATACAGCCTAATTTGGTTGCTATTATTAGTTAGCAGAAAAGAATAAATAAAGCTCTTCTCGCCCAAATACGACAATGATGGGTTTAGTTTGAAATCAAATCTCAATCGTTACAAGCACGCATGGAACTCAATAGCATCGTCTCGGGATTTGAATTCTCTTCGCTTCTTCTCCCATCCTCTTCCTCTCCACTACCCTTTTTTTTCCTTCACAACTATCGGATCAAAATTCCAATGATTCAGATTTGACATCTTATAAAAATAATATTATTAAAAAAATAAATAAATAAATTTAAACTGTTAAAATCTAGTCTAAACAATTAATAACTGTAATAAAAAAGTTGAAAAAAATTTGCTCTATAATAATAATTTGTAGATATGAGCTGTTCAAATTAGATTTTAATAGTTTAAATTTATTTATCTATTTTTATAATTATATTTATTTTTATAAAATATTGTAAAATATTAAATCTGGACCGTTGAAGTTTTGATCCAACGATTCTAAAAGGCCAAAGAAGGTAGTGGAGGGGAAGGGGATGGGAGAAGAAGGAGAGAGAATCCAAGTTCCAGCGCGCACAGGCATACATACAAACATCTTTTGAACATAGAGGGCCAGGCAACATTACAAAACACGTGAGATCAGAAAAGAAACCATCTAGGCCAGTTCAACGATGGGGACCCTGCACTCGTGGCCCGGGATATGGGATTTAGGCGAGTCATCCTAGAATCTGTTTCTACGGAAGCCATCCAATTGATTTTGGAGGGAAGACATAAAGAGCCGGCAGACCATGAACCCAGTTTCAATGTTCATTGTTTTGATGAACACTATAAATTTATCAGGCCTGAATCATTCAGATTTTATTTGAATAGTCCAAATTTGATTTTTTTTATTAATTTAAAATAATTATTTTAATATGTATAGAATCTAAAATAGAAATAATTTCTTAACTGCTATTCTTTCAAAAAATAGTTTTTTTCATTTAAAAATAATTAATTGAAAATTTTAAATCTAAACAATTCAAATCAGATATAGACGGTACAAATCTAATAAGTTTAGAGTGCTCATCAAGGTAACGAGTATTGAAACGGTGGTGTCATCAAGGAAGCTAGAAGCATGATTAATCGCGAATGGGAAGTACGCCCTTGCCGTGTGAGTCTAAAGGGTAAACTTGGCAGCTGACTTCTTGGCTAAACGGGGTCTCTCAGCAGGCTTCGGGTTCCACATCATTGCGCAAGGCCCTTTGGAACTTGCCCAGATCATTGACATGGATCGAAGCAGCTGAGTCTGATTTCTTTCTGTTAAAAAGAAAGAAAAAAAAAACCAAGGAAACAAGGACCAAGTTATGAGAGATCTTCTCTCAGATGTGCCTCGCGGCCAAGACAGATCAGCGCACATTAAACATACAAAATACAGACCAATAAGGATTTCAGGAGAGAAGGAGGGGTTCCACCTGCAGTGAATAAATGAAGAACAAAGCACATAAAAAAAACTCGTGTCAATATGTAGACAAAGACCTTCATATAAAAAAACTCATGTCAATATGTAGACAAACAGCTTAAGCAAGTGGATCGGCGATGTCTGAAGAACTGCCTCTGCTACAACAAATAGTTCTTCATATTATCTGATAGAAATTAATAACAGAATGATGGGTTTGCATCAGAAAGAAGATATGTTACTACAAGTTAATTCCAGAAGTTTCCTTAGTTAGCCTCCAATCAGAGCACCACCCCACATTAGATCAAATACTTACCCACAGTCGGCTAAGTAATGAAGAAGTTCTCCCATGAACAAGTTCTCCCAGGCTTCGCTATAGAAGTTGAACTCCCTTGTAAAAAAGGCAAGAATCCTTTTGGGGAAAAAAAAAAAAGGAAACAAAGAAGAAGAAGAACTTGTGAAAAATAGTTGATAAAATCACGACAAGGGAAGTAAATTTAATCCAAAAACTGATCATCACAGGGATACGCACCACATGTATCCAGTTATGTCATGGCTTCTGCACCAATATAATTATTAGTTATGTTGCAAAGTAACGATATTTTATTAAAAAACCGAATGGACATTTGTTTAGAGAGAGAGAGATATACCCGTCAAGTAATGAATAATAGGTAATTTATTTCTGATGAGTGTGATTCTTTGTAGATTCCAAATTTAATGGGGACAGCATAAGTAGCAACTCATTGACCTCGTCAGTTGTCTTGGACTCAGAATTCAGGGGAATAGGTTGAATTTCTTTGTTGAAGTGAGCTGATGTTGGTCATCAATATTCCGATGCCTCTTTGTTCGCGTACTCACCTTCAATTTTTTTTGTTGGAGGAAGTTTGCGTACTCTGAGACATATACTGGGAACCCCACATTCTTTGATCAAGCACTCACCAATCTGAAATTTCGAATTAACCAAACCATCACCACACCTGAATCTAAATTCAAGCTCCCCATCATAAGATTTTCTCCTTCTCTGAAGTTCCCGCAGCATGCATCCACGCAAGAGGGGATCATACCATTGAAAAACATTATCTGAATTCAATCTTATCATTGAATAGTGCCATCCTATTGGACCTTCCAAAGGCAAGCTTTTTGTCCAATCATTACTCCTATCTTCAATAAGGTATGTACATGACGACTGACATTGATCCCTTTCTTTTGAGGAGAAATGAGGCATGACAAAGCAGAAAATGAAACCCATTAAGTTTTCCAAATCTGGAGCAAGCTGAACGCTCACCCGTAAACCTCCATCTTTTATCGTCGAACTTTTGTGAGTAAACCAATCTGGAATGACACTTCCTTCAAAATTGCCATATTTTCCTTGCTCCAACGAGAAATTCACATATTTTAGTATCCCACGAAATGAATTCTCATCAACATCATGACAAGTCTTGTTTTGAGTACTCAAGCTTGACTTCGATTCCATTTGTTGAATGAAGGTATGATAATCCGAGGCATATATTTGGCAGACTCCACATGCTTCAACCAAACCATCGACTAACTTGTTATCCCTTGTAATAACAGAGAATTCAAATGACAGCTTCGGCTTGTAATTGGTGTTTTGATCATCCATTGTTTTACCCAACTTTATGAGTGTGGAAGGATCACACCATAGAATAACATGACGTGAATCAAAATTTTCGATGAGCATAGGAAATGGTAGGCATTTGCACCACTTACTATCATAATAAAGTTGGCATTGTAAGCTATAATGAGAGTCATGAGAACAGAAATGAGAAAGAACAGAGCAGAAAATGAAGCCAATTAGGTCGTTATTGGTTGAAGGAAGCTCAATAGTTACATAGTTCGAAGCCTTTGTTCCCTGATTAAACATAAACCACTCTGGAACTTTTCTTCCTGGGTAAACAAAACCTCCTCTTTGTTTTGTGTATACTAATCGCTTCAATGAGAAATATGCCCATTCAATGTCACGGGATGAAGAACAGTTCTCCAATTTCGAGCAATCTTTCAGATGTAGGAAACTCAGTTGTCGTGCAGAAGTTATTACAGTGGGTACAATCTCCAGTGACATGCAACCACTAGCATCAACAGTTTCGAGGAATGGCGGCAATTCTGGCAGAGAACGAAGTGTTCTACAATTCCGCAAGAAAATTTGTTCTAGATTTGAAAGATGCTTGATGCTGGCAGGCAAGCTCTCCGCATTACTTTCACTCAAGTCCAGTGAAGATAATGAAGAAAAGGAGTCCATGAATTCAGAGAGTTCATACAACTGTTCACAACCTTTAAGAGTAAGCCGTTGAAGATTTCTAAGATAACTAACTGAGGAACAGAGCGTTGGACCCAACAATTTTCTATCTGCCAACGATGAAGGTTCAAAATGAGAAGTAAGTTGTAGTGTCCTCAATGATGAGCATTCGTAGGCACCTAACTTTTCGATGGATGGTGGAAGCTCTGGTAAAGATTGAAGGCTTTTACAATTGCTTACGTAAAGACATCGTAGCCTCGAAAGATGTTTGGTATTGTTTGGAAGATCAGTTAATTTGAATGCTCCATCCAAATGAATTGCTTTTAGAGATAGCAAAGCATCAAATAAGCTATGGAGCTTTGATTTGTCAATTAATCCTCCAATATCATAAAGAGCAAGACTCTGAAGGCGTCTCATGCAACAAATGTCATTAATTGGAAGATATTTCAGTCTTGAGCAGTTGAGAACGAGGTACTGGAGTTTCTCCATACACCCAGTTGAAAAGTCCAATATCTCGACACTTGTGGGCCGTAAATCTAAATAAGTTATTTTGTCTGAAGTGAATGAAAATTCCTTGAGACCATTGCAGCCGACGACAATTAGCTTTGCGAGAGATTTTGACTGATTCTCAGATTTCAAACTCTTTATGTTTCTGCAATTAATAAGCATTACGCTGCTCAATCTCGGGAGAGATAAAATTGATGGATGAAGATGGCCTAAACTTTTACACCCACAAAGATCAACATGTTTAAGATTTTGAGCCGCCGAGAAATCTGGTAACTCTGTCAATTGTTTAGATTCAGCAAGGTTTATCTCCCTTAACTTCCCAAAATTCTGCAACAATTAAAATGAGAAATATTACATAGGAAACAAGAGTCTTAAATTTGAATTAAACTGCAAAATTTAAAGAAAAAAAACTCATATTTGTATGTTTACCTTTACTCCGTTCCATAATATTTTAAGGTGGTTGTAAGGCATGTGAAATTCAAGTAACTTCTCAGCACAAAATGACAATGGTAGGGACTCTAAGGGAAAATTGACCCATTCAAGATACCTTAATGAATTGGAAAATGCCTCAAGCCTTGAAGGGAGTTTTACACTGCAAGATCTTTTAACCTCGACAGAATAGAATTTCAGAAACATTAAATTAGGCATCTTTCTAAAGACATCAGCACTCAACTGTAGATCTCCAACTTGAGACAAATCTAAACTTATGCCTTGAATCGCATCACTTCCCTGAACAACACAAAAATCCAAAAGGAAAGTAAATAAATTACTTTATATTAACAATTTCTATTCAGTGATTATCAAATGTCTAATTAGAAAGGTAAGTATTTTTCCAACCTGATTATTTTCAAGCGCCTCACAGATCTCATCAGGATTACATAGTCGACTACGTCCTTCAGGATTTTTCACACACTCTTGACGAACAATTTCGAAAGCCATTGATGGAATTAAATCATGCATCCATACCCCAGAATCAATAGTTATCAGCGCCTTATCCATAAGGATTCTCAAACCAAAGCATGCTTGAAAGCCACGGCTCTCTAGCGTTGTCATTACACATCTTCTAGATTCACCTTTCAAAAAGAAAGCAACGAGTAAAAATATCTCTTTCTCTTCATAATCAAGTCCATCATAGCTCAATTTTAACACAGCTTGAATATCTTGATGGATCGTGTTTTCTAATTTTCTCAATGCACTTTCCCATTCCTCTGCGGTTTTGGCGTGTAGAAATGAACCCAAAATGGTTAAGGCTAATGGATTTCCTCCAGCATAAGCAACTGCTCTTTTAAAGAGTTCTTTATATTCACTTTTATAACCAACTTTGCGGAAGGCTTTGAGGTTGAAAAGCTTAAGCGCGTTGTCATAGCCCAATGCCTCGGCCTTGTGTATTTTATCAACTCTTCCCTCAAGCACGTTTTTATCTCTACTTGTCATGATGACTTTACTGCCAGGTCCCAGAGGAGGAGCTTCACTTTCCAAATAATCTAACTGCTGTGTGTTGCTAACATCATCAAGTACAATCAAAACTTTTCTACGATTGAGCCCTCCAAGGGATGTATCCTTTAATAGTTCTCGGAAAAGTTCGTCACCTACATATTTTAACCTATGGCTTTCTGACTCTTCCCTAAAATTTTCTAAGAAGCAGCAACTATCAAATTGAGAGCGGAGCTTGACAAACACAACCTTAGCCATTGTTGTTTTGCCTATCCCGCCCATCCCCCAAATCCCAATTGTTGAGGATTCTTCTAGCAATGACTCAATATGATCCAAATTCTCATTAATTCCAATAATATTTTCTAATATACTTCCTGAGTACCCATGGTTCAGTTTGTTGATGACGCCCTTGACAATATTTTGAATGAGTTCTGTGTCATCCCTAATATAAGAAAAAGAGTTATAGAAGAAAATATTAATGTACCACGTGAAAATTAATTAAGAAATAATATATTAATAAAGTGATAACTAATTGATGACGGTTTTTTTACATCACAAGATTATTATTTAAAAAAAAAGACAAATTTCTTCATAGTTTTATCAAATTTGTGTGGATATTTTCCTCCATTTTCAAAATTATTAAGAAGGATTCATTCAAACGTAAGAAATGTATACATAATTTACTCTACTATATGAGTTATTCGTAGTGACAATTAATTGTAAGAAGGGTTACGTTGAAGAGTTAAAAAATCAACTTTAATCTAATAGGGAAAAAAAGGGGGAAAAATCAACTTTCAGAGCTAAAGTATCCAATTTTGAGATGACACCATTTAAATAATGTTTTTCTCATGTAAACCCAACAATGTAAAGAAATTAATTTTATATGTCATATATACACGAGTATTGCAATGAACATGATCCAACATCATTACTCACTACCAGTTAATTAGTTGTCAGATAAGCTAATATGAAAAGAAAAGCACTTTATATGAATATGAAGACCAATCACAAGAATAATATGAAACTCTGATTCAGATACTTGGAGTTAGAGAATAAAGAGTGACCTGCAGTTGCGGGAGTCCAATCCTGCTAAATTTGCAATCTCAAAAAGTGCTTGTCTCCACTCCTCCACCTTCTCTACGTTTTTCTCCAAATGTTCTACGAATGCTTGCTCATAAGCTCCCCTTTGTTTGTGCACATGAGATGGGTCGATTTTGTAGAAGATAGGAACAACAATCTGTGCCTGCTGTTGTTTGCAGCGAAGGATCTGAAGGAGCTCATTCAAACACCATTTTGAAGTGGCATAGTTTTGAGATAAGACCACCACAGAGATGGATGAATCCTGAATTGCTTCAATGAGTGACTGGGAGATGTCATCGCCTTTGGGGAGCTTATAATCAATGTATGTCTCAATATCTCTGAAGCATTCGGTTTTTTTTTTTTAATTTAGACAAAATATCATGACAGCATTGTCCCTCATATGTACCATGAATTAAACGGAAAGGTTGCACCTTCAGTTGTAGGGTCCGTTGCGCCTGAAGGGGTGTTTTTTTTTTTTTTGGGCATATGAATGGTTGGCACGTAAAAGATGATGTTGATGTTTCATGCCAATTGCTCTGTTACTTCCCTGCAACTTCCCGCCAGTTAAAGTATGATGGTAGGGTAATTACTGTTAGTATTTTTTTATTTTAATATAAGAGTTACTTAGATAATTTTGATATATTAAAAAAGTTAAATAAATCATTTAATTATAATATAGCATGGCATGATTTTTTAAAAATATTTTTATAAATTATCAGATTATGGACTAATTTATAATATAGATAAACTATTCTGAGAAAAAAATGATAAATATAATAAACAAAGTAGATTAAAATCTTATATTTACAATCAAATCTAACCCCCTTAGTTCAAAAAACTTAGGAGAGTAATTGTTAATGATTATGTGGTCAATTTTGTTTGCAAGTGTGTTCAATGATAGGTTCTAATATTTGTTATTTTTGGGACCAAACTAAAATATAGTATTATTCAGAATCCAAGGCTTTGGCAGAATTGCATGCATCGGCCTTCAAGTGTGTTCAATTATTAGACGAATATTTAGGTAAATCAAACAGATATTTTGTTAAATGATAAACTTAATTTTATAAATTAGTTATAAAACTCTTATATTTAAGATTAGAAGGAGTATATGTTATTTTTCTGGGGTAAAGTAATTATTAAGTGAAGTCTTTGGGAGAATTACATTTGCATGTGAAAGTTTCTACGCAACCAAGGTCCAACAAAATGTGTGCCCTATGCTGAAAAGTTGATGTTGATGCTCTCATGCCAATTGCTTTGCTATTTCACTGCAACTTCCTCTGAAGGATTAATAATTACTCTGTTACTTCCCCGCAGCCTTCACCAAGTGATGGTGGGGTCAGAGTTTTACTTGTTAGAGATGGTTCTAATTAATGTGTGTTACTTTTTGGACCGCAACAATATCTGTTACTTAGAGGGTGTTTCGAAATGCTTAAAAATACTTCTTAGAAGTATTTTTCTGTAAAACGAGATAAACTCCTCCACATATTTATTTCGTAAATAGTAAAAACATTTTTAAAATTATGGTTTGGTTTACATCCAAACACCCTTTTAGAACTCAAGTCTTTCGCAGAATTGCATGGTTGGCTTCCATATTAAAGTGGTGCATATCCTCATTGGACAAGTTGGGAATGGAGTGAAGAATAAATGACCCGTCATGTACGGTTAATACGTGAAATTGAACGGATGGAACAGAAAGTGAATATGGCCGGCTGTTAAGAATGAAGGATAAAATTATTAGTCAATTGATATGAAGTGAAAAGTCACTTTTTGTTATGGAAAAACCATAAAATCACTTTGATAAAAGAAAACTTACATAAGTAAAGGGCTGGCACCCTGGCAACTTCCAGGAAGGGAAGTTTTTGCATTTAAAAGGCGTCATTTGGCTCCTCCTTTAGTGGTTAACTCATCGGGCTTTTCTCACTGCAAACAAATAGTAGTTGCTTTAACATAAAAGCTTTGTTTTGTTTTTTTTTTTCCCAAAATGTCAATCCAAACATAAGTGAGATGGGGTCTCCTATGATTTTTCATTAAAAAGCCACTTAATTGGGATGGCTGAAAATTCATTCCAAACACAAATTAGATCCCCCGGGGGGCGCGTGGATACAAACAATTTCGATTATATTTACATAACTAATTTCCAAAATTCAATGAATAATATGGGGCTGAACTGATCAGAAACTAAAAAAATTAAAACAATTAAATACTAACATAATCATGTGATATCCACTATACTACCACATATCTAATTATTAATAAGCAAATAATTGATTTATTCTCTAAAAAAATTTACAGGACTAACATCTTGAAATAGATACCTTTTTTATAAACTGTATAATTTTCAACACTTAATTGAAATTTTAAGTTGCAATTTTGGGTTAGGTTGTACTTTTGAGTAGGCATATGTACTACCTTGATCTTAAATATAAAAATTAGATAGCTAATGTTAAGACAAATAGAATAACACAAAAGCCTAGCCAATACACAAGAGCAAAGCCCAATAGGCCCAGAGTGAAATTACTAAGTGACTGACTGTAATTTATTTCTTACTGATGTATACGTGGCTTATCTCTATTCTTTCTAGGGTTTTGTCTTGTCTATATAATGTACAGTAACTGCCTTGTACAGTGTGCAATCAATACAATAGAATATTTTTTTTCTCTCATTACAAGTTTTATCTTGGTATCAGAGCCCTAGGCTAGCCACCATGGCAGAACAAACCTCTCACACAGAAAACCCAGGATCACAGAGCACTGGAAGCAATGGAGGCAAGAGCTCACTGAGTTCGGCCACAGCTCTTGCCAGGTTGACTGAGAAGAGCAATACACTTTCTCAGACATGTTCTGTCAAGTTGGATAGAACCAACTACTCCATCTGGCTGACTCACGTTTTGCCCATTATCAAAGGGCACAAACTTGAAGGTTTTATCAATAGCACCAAACCTTGCCCTCCTCAGTTTATCAAAGAGAATGACTCCTCCAGGCTAAATCCCGACTTTGAAGATTGGGAAGCTGCAGATCAGTTGCTGTTCGGATGGCTGTTGAACACCATGACTCTGAAGATATCTTCAGAAATGACCAATGTATCCACCTCTGCTGCCTGTGGAGAGCAGCGAAACAACTAGTTGGTGCTCAGACGAAATCACGCCTTCTTATGCTGCGTGCTGAGTTACAAAGAACCAGAAAGGGAACCATGAAAATGGGAGAGTATTTGGCGAAAATAAAAGGCATTGGAGAGCAACTTACCCTGGCTGGAAGTCCCTTTCCTCTTCCTGACTTGATTATTCAAGCGTTGGCTGGCTTAGATGCAGATTACAACCCCATAGTGGTTCAACTATCCAATCAAGCTGAAGAACTAAGCTGGATTGATCTTCAGACTTCTTTGTTCACCTTTGAAAGCCGGCTGGAGCAACTCAATCAGCTTGCTCAACTGTCACTCAGCAACAATCTTGCTAACTATGCCAGATCTGATGGTGGTTCTTCTTCCAGAAACAATTGGAGAGGAGGAAGAGGCAGCCGTGGCAGACGTGGCAGAGGAAGATTTGGAAGAGGAGGACGCTATAACAGCTACAACAACAACAATGATACTGATGTTATAAAATGCCAGCTTTGTAACAAGGTTGGTCATGTTGTTGAACATTGCTTTTATAGATATGACCGTTCTTTTCATGGTCTAGGTAGCAAACAGAACAAAGACAGAAATGACTATACTGAACTTGATAGTGCATATTGGGCAACACCCGAGACTGTAAATGATTATGGTTGGTACTTGGATAGTGGAGCAACAAGTCATGTGACAAATGATCTTAGCAAGCTGGACAATCCGACTACACCTAATGGTAAGATGAATGTGATTGTTGGTGATGGATTTAAACTAGGAGTTGAAAGGGTTGGCTCATCCATCATTCATAATGGTACTAAAAGAAAAGTTGAGTTGAAAAACATTTTGTATACCCCAAAGATCAAGAAAAACTTGCTGAGTGTTTATAAAATGGCTTATGATAATGATGCTGATGTGATCTTTAATACCAGTGGTGTTTTTGTGAAGAATCAGGACACAGGGGAAACAATACTGGAGGGAAGACCAAGTAATGGTGGTATGTTTCGAATCAGTAAGCAAGGACAGAATGGTGAAACTGAAGTAGTTTTTGTTGCAGAAGAAGAAGCTAGTGCTCCAGCAACTAAATCTAGCTATTCTAGTAGGACTTTTTAGCATTGTAGGCTTGGACACCCAAGCAATAGAATATTGAATCGGCTAATTAGAGAATGTAATCTGCAAATGACTCCTATTAATGAAAATGAGTCTGTTTTCTGTGAATCTTGCAAGTATGGAAAATTACACTCTCTTCCCTTCAAGGTGTCTACTTCTAGAGCTTCAAAACCACTAGAATTAATCCACACAGACCTTTGGGGTCCCTCTCCAATAACCTCAATGAATGGTTTTCGGTATTATATTCTGTTTCTTGATGATTACAGCAGGTTCTCTTGGATCTACCCTCTAAAAACTAAAGATGAGGCCCTGCCCATGTTTGTTCAGTTTAAAACTCAAGCTGAAAGGCAATTTGATAATAAGATCAAAATTATCCAAAGTGACTGGGGAGGAGAATACAGAAGCTTTAGTAAGTTGTTGAGTGAAAATGGAATTGTTTTCAGACATTCCTGCCCTCATACATCAGCCCAAAATGGCAGAGCTGAAAGGAAACATAGGCATATTGTAGAAATGGGTCTCACACTCCTGGCACAAGCTAAAATGCCTTTGTTTTACTGGTGGGAAGCCTTTCATACAGCAGCTCAACTTATTAATAAACTACCTACTCCGGTTTTGGGAGGAATTTCACCCCATTTCCGTCTCCTAGGTAGACATCCAGATTACAACTCACTAAAGGTTTTTGGTTCAGCTTGCTTTCCATGTCTAAGACCATACAATGAGCATAAACTACAATTTCGGTCTGTAAAGTGTGTGTTTATTGGCTACAGCAACTCTCACAAAGGACATAAATGTTTGAGTCCAACAGGAAGAGTTTATATCTCTAGACATGTTGTATTTAATGAGTGTGATTTTCCTTTTTCAACAGGGTTCATCAACAAAAGGAAAATACCTGAGGAATCTGTGCATCCTAAGGCCTTCTTTCAACCTCTCTTGTCTGCCTTTAACACTTGTCCAACTGATCACAATATTGGTGAAGCCGCCACTCCTCAAGTCACAGCACACTCCTCATCAGATGATTTGCCTTCCTCTGAACCTGCAGTTGCAGAGCAAATACTGAGTCAGTCCTCTACTCAAAATCAGAGAGAAAATGAGTTACATGAAAGTCAACATTCAACAGGACAGAACACAGAACAAGCAGAAGAGTCAAGTAATGAAGAAGCTAGCCCTCAGTCAGCTGGAAATGAACTAATTCTGACTCAACATCACATGGTGACAAGAAGCAGAGCTGGAATTCATAAACCAAAACAACCATATGTTGGTGTAGCTGTTGCAGATTTGACCCTAAAAGAACCGTCTACTGTCAAAGAAGCCTTGAATTCAGAAAATTGGAGAAGGGCTATGGCTGAGGAGTTTAATGCTCTTGTCAGGAATGATACTTGGGTCCTCGTTCCTCATTTCAAACATATGAAGCTTATTGACTCCAAATGGGTCTTCAAACTAAAGTCTAATGCAGATGGAACTGTGTTTAGACCTAAAGCTCAGCTAGTAGCTAAGGGTTTTCAACAAAGCCCAGGAATCGATTTTGATGAGACTTTCAGTCCAGTGCTGAAGGCTTCCACTCTGAGGTTTGTGCTCTCTCTTGCTGTTACTTTTGGGTGGCCTATTAGACAGTTAGACATAAATAATGCCTTTCTTAATGGAGAATTGCAAGAACAAGTCTATATGAGGCAACCTATAGGCTTTAAATCCAGTAAATTCCCAAATCATGTTTGTCTTATGAGGAAGGCTCTCTATGGTCTAAGACAAGCTCCCAGAGCCTGGTTTGAGAAGTTAAAGTCAGTACTGTTGAATTGGGGTTTTACACATTCCAAATGTGACACATCACTATTCTTTTTCAAGAGCAAGGAGTTCTGCCTTTTTGTCCTAATCTACGTTGATGACATAATCATTACGGGAAATTCCTCAAAAACTCTCGTTATGTTCATTCAACGCCTAAATGATCAATTTGCACTTAAGGATCTGGGTAACCTACACTATTTCCTTGGAGTAGAGGCGTACAGAGATGACACTGGTTTGTATCTTAAGCAAGAAAAGTATATTTTCGATCTTCTTCACAGATTTGGAATGGGAAATTCCTCACTAGTGCCAACACCTATGATCGTTAATAAACACTACTCAAAGCATGATGGAGTTCCCCTGAAAAATCCGACTCCCTACAGACAAGCTATTGGAGCCTTACAGTATCTCGTCAATACACGACCAGACATCATGTTTGCTGTAAATAAACTCAGTCAATTTCTTACCTCTCCAACGGACGATCACTGGCAGGCGCTTAAACGGATCTTCCGCTATCTAAGAGGCACCTCGGATTTTGCTCTGCATATTCGACTGAGTACTCATCTTACTCTCTAAGGATTTTCCGATGCCGATTGGGCTGTTTGCCCTGACGATCGTCGCTCAATAGGAGGCTACTGTGTTTACCTCGGTGACTCTCTTATCTCGTGGTCTGTGAAGAAACAGAACGTCGTGTCTCGGTCGAGTGCCGAATCAGAATATCGGTCACTTGCAAATCTCGCCACCGAGCTTGCCTGGATTCAGTCCTTGATCAAAGAACTTGGTGCCCGATTGAATCAAACTTCGATCACCTGGTGCGATAATATGAGTGCTGCCGCCTTAGCATCAAATCCCGTCTTCCATGCAAGATCTAAGCACATCGAATTGGATGTGCACTATCTCAGAGATCGGGTAATGAATCATCAGTTGTGTGTTCGGTATATTCCCTCCTCTGAGCAGATTGCGGATATTTTCACCAAGGCACTCTCCCATTCCAGATTTCGGCTTTCTGTGACAAACTTGGTCTCACCAGATCTCCAAGCCCAAGTTTGAGAGGGGATGTTAAGACAAATAGAATAACACAAAAGCCCAACCAATACACAAGAGCAAAGCCCAATAGGCCTAGAGTGAAATTACTAAGTGATTGACTGTAATTTATTTCTTACTGGTGTATACGTGGCTTATCTCTATTCTTTCTAGGGTTTTGTCTTGTCTATATAATGTACAGTAACTGCCTTGTACAGTGTGCAATCAATACAATAGAATATTTTTCCTCTCATTACAAGTTTTATCTGCTAATTTGTAAATATTAAAAAATTAATTAAGTTAGTTATTTATAAAAATATATATATGCTAGTTTTTGTCAAAAAACTTCTTGTTAATCTCAGGTTTAAACTTGTCATTTCTTAATCAAGACTTGTAATAAATTGTTGTCAAGCCAAAGTAAAAGAGTCAACGTATATTATTTTTTTACATTATAATGTTAAGAAATCATTTGTGGCCCAGTAGTCACATTTTTTTTTGGGTTGGTTCAAATAATCATGGGATGGTGGAAACAAATCCCACCCAACCACTTTCCTAAAATAATTTCTCATGGAAAAAAAACCTTTTTTTTCCTGCCAATTACTTATGTTCAATTTAACCTGAAATGGGTGATTGATAAATATTAAGAACTCATGATTTATTAGACATCCTCTAGATCTAATTTGAATTGAAGGAGTATTTTAATTCTAAATATATGAATTCAATCTATTTTATTTTTCAAATTTATAATTTTCGTTTTACACTATTACTGTTATACTACACATCGATGGGAGTTTCTATTAATGTAGTAGTTTTCAATACAATTATTAAAGGAGTATTTAGGTAAATCAAACACCTATTTTTTTAAATAATAAACTTAACTCCATAAATTAGTTACGTAACTCCCATATTTAAAATTGGAAAGAGTATGTGTTTTTTTTTTGGGGGCACAGTAATTATGAAGTCAAGTCATCGGGAGAATTACATTTGTATGTGAAAGCTTTTGCTTAACTAATGTCCAACAAAATGTGTGGCCTACACTGAAAAGATGATATTAATGCTTTCATATACCAATTGCTTTGCTACTTAATGGGGCTTGGAGGAATAATAACTACCCTGTTACTTGCGTGCAAATTTATAATTTTTTGCCCAAATTATTTTTATTGTTCACATATATTAAGAGATTTCGTAGTTTCACAAATTAGTTATATATATATATACTTCTCCGGTTCTAAATATAAGATCTATTTTACAGTGTAAATTATAATACAAAATAGATCTTATATTTAGGACCAGAAAGAGTATAAATATATATCTTATATTAAGAGTTGGAAGCAGCATTATATAGAACTCAAGTCTTATGGTGGAATTGCATGCATTGGCCTGTATATTGAACTCGTCCATAACCGAAAAGTTGTGCATAGAAGGATTGCAAATTCCCCTCTTTGTTTGGATGTGAAAAATATAGAGAGAAAAGAATACTCAAAGAGAAAACTTAAAAAAAATAAATAAATCTTTTTAGTATTGCAAAGATTTTTCCTTCATAATATTTTCTCCCGTTATTTTTCTCTCATTTTTTCCTTTTCTGTCATTATTTTTCTCTTATTTTTTCTTCCATCCAAACCTGGCCTTTATGTTATATTAGATCACGCGATACATCCACTATATAAGGATATATAGGAAGTTGGAGGAAGTTGGAAGCATTAGAACAATTTTGAGTTTACTCTAAATAGAAAATTAAAGTGTAGGAACCAAATCTGATTTGAGATTTAGTAATTTTAATATTCTTTCATAAGATTCTTCCCAATAATTACTCTTTCTATTTTTTAGAGTCATTTTCATCATTAACATTGAAATTAAGGAAAAGGTTAAAATTCATTATTATTTTTTTTTGGGAAAAAAATCGAAGAAGCATCCAATTTTATCATTATCACTCATCTGGCGTAACTTCGTAAAAATAACTAATTTTAAATTAAAGATAATAGGAGAATAATATTATAAATACCTTGAACTTATTAATGCTTTAATTTAGACAAAAAATCACGACCTAAAATATTCGTCCCGTTACCCCATACAATCAGGTCAGGCCTTGTTTGGATTTTGGAATGGGATGGGATGCTCTAAAAACAGTTTTTTAATCTTAATTTACAAAATAAAAGTTAAGTATGTGAGCTACTTGCGTGAATAAATAATTTAATTAACTTTTTAAATATTCACCATATTACACTACTTTCGTGGGACACGACCGCAGAGAGACAGACACCCTTGGTCTGCCACGTAAAGTAGTACAGTTGGCTGTTTCGGTTGTCCGGTTACCATGGTAATTTAATCTTGTCGATGGCTAGTCGGTGTTGGATGGAGAAAATAGGGAGAAAAATAAGAAGAAAAAAATATTCCTCCTCCTGTTACTAATATGAGATGTAATTTATAATATAAATTATACTATAAAATAACTTTTATATTAAAAATCAGAGAGAGTGTTAGAAAACTTTTAGTGAAAATATTACTATATCCGATCCTTAATATAAAGGTAAATTATTGTTAAACTTTTGAGTTGACTTTTTGAGTTTAACATTTTTATGTTTTTAGTTTATACAATCATGTTGAATCACTATTAAATTTGTGTTAGTTATAAACTCAATCAAACTTACGAGTACACTCATCAAATTTATCATTTTTATATTTTTATCTTATAAAATCATATCAGCTCGTGCTAAATTTTTGGATTTAGGTGTATTTAGTGACTTTATGTGAATTTTAAAAAATTTCTTTATTGAATATGGTAAATTAGGAAAGTCGATGAATTTAATTTTAATTATTTGGATTCAAAATATATCTAAATAGAATTGTTGTTATTAAAAATAATAAATCTTTTTGGTATTGCAAAAAATTTTCCTTCATAATATTTTTTCCTCCATCCAAACTTAGCCTTCATGTTGTATCAGATCAAGTGATACAGCCACTATATAAGGATATAAGAACTTGTAGGAAGTTGGAAACACCTTGGAACCATTTTGGGTTTACTCTGAATAGAAAATTAAAGTGTTCTTTTAATTATCAGCAATCCTGATAACAAGACACAGTTTTGTTGAAGAAAACAGCTCTTAATTTACATATCTTAAATATACATAAATGCTATGTATTGCATGTTTGAAAACTCCATTTTTTGTTCTTGAAGTGTATTTCGATGCTACATGTACTGTAACAAATTGGAATATGTAAGAGACTATTTTGCCAAACTGAAATGCGTAAGGTTTGAGAACCGATACACAAACTAATAATGCAATAGCCACACCAACATAAATCGATCATCTACGAGAATATGATTACCACAATTACCATACTATGGCAAGTTGGCTAGTGCAAGTTATGACACGTTAGGTTCATACTCTGTTTTCAAGTCTTTACTGTGTTCTCATTCCCAAACATCAATATGCCGATCAAAATCAGTTCAATGATACTCAACAACTTATAATCTAAAACTCAATTTGAAGGAGCAATAGCTCATGCTCTGTTTTTCTTTACTTTATTTTTATCTACAAACACCTACATGCCCATTTGTTAAAAGCAACTTACTCCTCTGATCCTTAATATAAGATCCATTTAACTAATTTGATTAGATTAAGGAAGATAGATAAATTAGTTAATTATAAGAAAAGTGACACATTTTTCCTAAAACACCATAATTATCTTTTTTAATACTTTCTTTCCTTCTTCTATTTGATTATTGTTGAGGAAGTATCCATAGGGGTAATTTAGAGAAAAATGATAAATATAAAATATATGTCTTATATTTAGGACTAAAACCAACTGAAGAATTAGGTCCTATATTAAGGACCGGAGGAGTATTTTATTTGTTTGCGAAATTTTTCATTGATATGTTGTTTATAAGATTGTCATTTCCCTGGAATGGAATTACTGAACTGATTGGAGGGGGGAAAAAAAAGTCAGTATCACAAAATTCAATCATGAGTGCAATAATTATTACAAAAAAAAAGGGCATCATCGTCGAGTATGAATACATGGTCTTAATTTGCTAATTTAAGATAGAGATAATACCTATTCAATCATTATGGCCTTGCGTTTTGGGGAATTCAAGATTGAACTCCGCCGATTTCCCTTGTGGATCAACATTGTAATATTCTGAGGCATATATGGGGTAGACTCCACACTCTTTGATGAGAATGTCATTGCCGATTCCAAAATCGAATTTGAACAAAAGATTTTGGTCGTAAGAGGTGGTTTCATGGTTTCTTTTGTTCCCTTCAATCTTGTTGAGCATCAATTCAGATAGTTTTGGATTAGAACGTAGGAGAACATTTCCAGGACTGAATTTTATGAGTGACGAAAATGCAATTTCGCGAGTCATTTCGTCCAATTTAAAGACGAAGGAAATTTCAGGGGCCATATGCTCTTCCCATGGGAATGAGTCAGGAACGACGGCGCAAAAACCCGCTAAATTGTAAGAAGCTGGAGGTAGTTCGACGATGCTCGAATCATTTTGGGACCTATTATTCCCAAACCACTACGGAACCTTCTTCCCTGGGTAACAAACTGTATCATCATTCTTCTCATGAACTGCTTTCTCTAACAACAACTTGACTTGTTCTTCAATGGCGCCCAGATCTAAGTTCACACAGTTGATGAATGAAAAGATTTTTTCACCATAATTCTCAGATGTGCTTGAAATTGTTGAAGCAGACACCGTCTTCGGTGATGTGCAGTCTGTGGCAATCAAATTTTTAAGGGATGGAGGAAGTTCCGGTAGACTCCGAAGCATGGTGCAACCTTCTACAGGTAGATAGCGTAGCTCAGAAAGATGTGTGATATTGTGGGGGAGTTCAGTTAGGTCGGGCCACTCCTTCAAAGACAACACTTCTAAAGATGGCAATGCATCAAATAGAACTGCCATCTTTTGAATACCAAGGCACATGAGTTTAAAATGACAGAGCATGGTCTGTGGAGGATACCAAGGACTTGAAGTATCGAGCAGGAGACGATTGAGATTTCTAAGGTGATGAACGAAGGAGAGGTTGAACGAGAGTGCTGCGCAATCAGTGGCATCTAATAATTTAAGGGAGGGGGGAAGCTCTGGTAAATATTGAAGATTCCTGCAACCTCCCAAATAAAGCTCTTCCAGACCCGAGAGTTGCCTGATATTATCTGGGAGTTCAGTTAATACCTTTAGATTCTTCAATTTTGTATCACAGAGGTTGAGTCTTCTAAGCTTTGAACAACGCCCAATTGATGGACTCAATTCTTCTATCTCATTTCCTTCTAAATCTAAAGACATTAGTTCTTCTGTTGACACCGAGAACTCCTTAGGACGATAGCACCCAGCTAGTTATATTAATTTCTTCGAGAGATTTTAGATGAAAACATCACTATTTTAACATACTTTGATTAGTATTATTTATGACTTACCAATAGTAATGCTTATGAAGTCTAAGTCTTTGGGGAAATTGCAAAAGGTTGTACGTAATTAAGGTCCAACAAAATGTGTGGCCTCCCTGTAAAAGTTGATACTGATGCTTCATGCCAATTGCTCTGTTGCTTCTCTGCAACTTCCTGTCTTGTTTACATGGCCGGGTGGAATAATAATTAGTCCTTTCATTCTGATTCATAATTCTATTTCAAAAATTAAAGAAGTGTCCAATTTTATCATTATTTAAAGTCATTTGATGTAACCTTTAGAAAAATGAATTAACATTAAATAAATATAATATAGAGAAAAGACAGCAAATTCTTATTTTTTTTAAAAAGGATCAGAGGCAGTACCTTGACCTTATTCACGTTTTCATTTAGATCCCAAAAAAAAAAAAAAAACAGAGTCAGGATATGGGATATTCCCTGGCACAATCAATCTAGTGGTAACTTTGAATCAAAGTTCAATTGCTGAGCTTTCCATGCAACTCTCATCAACTAACGGTAGGGTCATAATTGTAAGTTCCTCCTGTACTTTATGTAAGAGTTATTTTATTAATTTAAGTAGAGGAAAAAAAAAGCAAATAAATTAGTTGATTATGACAAATATGATATAGTCTTCCTAAAATATCTTTATATAATATTAGATTATATATCAGTTTATAAGTTATATAAATTAGTTCAAAAAAATAATAAATATGGTAGACAAAGTGGATTAAGATTTTATATTTAGGATCAAATTTAAAATTTGACATTTAAAATCAAATCTAACTCCTAACTAGTTCTTGTATCAAGAATGGGGGAGTAATTGTCAGCAATAATTAATAGGTTCTAATATTTGTTATTTTTTGTACCAAATTAATATCTATTATTTAGAAGTCCAGTCTTTGATAGAATTGCATGCATTGGCTTCCATGTGAAACTGGTCCATATTCTCACTCGAAAAGTTGTGCATGGAGGGAAAAAATAATACTAAAAGAAAAGACTTTAAAAAATAGTAAATGTTTTTATTTTATTCATAGTATTCTCTCCCCTGTCTTCCTCTCACTTTTAACTCCATCTAAACTAAGGCTTCATTATTATATGGCAGAGACACACACTACACAAGGATATAGGAACTTGTAAGAAGTTGGAAACACCTTCAAACCATTTTGAGTTTACACTAAATAAAAAATTTAAAGCGTTTTTCTAATTATCAGTAATAATGAAAACAAGACAGTTTTTTAAGGGGGGAAAAAATCTTAATTCGCATATATTAAATATACATAAATGCTATGTATTGCAGGTTTGCAAACTCAATTTTTTTCCCTCAAAGTATATTTGATGCTACATGTACATTAACAAATTGGAATATGTAAGAGACTTTGATGCCAAATTAAAATGCATAAGGTTTAAGAACAAATACACAGAATAATAATGCAAAATTCCCACCAACACCGATGGATAATCTGCAAAGTTGGGTTGGGCAAGTAATGGCACATTTCGATCATGCTCTGTTTTCAAGTCTTCATTTAGTTTTCATCTATAAACATCAATATACCAGTCAAAATCAATTTAATTATATTCAAAACTTTAATCTAAAACTCACTTCGAAGGAGTAAGAGCTCACGCTCTGTTTTCTTTACTCTGCTTTTATCTGCAGACACCAACATTCTCACCCGTTAAAAGCAACTTATCTTGTTCACCTGCCAAAATTTTCATCGATATGAAGTTTGTAAAATCATCATTTCCCCTGTAATAAAATTACTCAACTGATGGAAAAAACTCAAAGTTCACTTCCTTCTAACAAATAGAGACACCAAATGATCCTCTACAAGAATAATTACAACATCCGCTTGGAGTTTTAAAAAAAAACAATGGGCCTGTTTTTTTACCTATTCTGAAAACAATTTTTTGTTTTTAAAAACAAAAAAAATAAAAAAACATGTTTGGGAACTTGTTTTTAAAGAAGTGTTTTTAAAATCAAAAAACCAATTATTTGTTTTTAAAAACTAAAAACACAAAACAATTTTAAGATGTTTTCTGATTTTGTTTTCCATTTTGAAAAACCTGGGAAACTTTTCCCTGACTTCTCTGCTCGCTCGACGGCTCCCTTAGAGAGGGTTGGAGTGCCAACCGATGCTTCAGCCTTGTGCTCGCTGTCTCCTCATCCTCTGGTTTCATTCCTCGGTGCTCGCTGTCTTCTCCACTCGGTGCTCGCTGTCTTCTCCGCTTGGTGCTTGTCGTCTCCAGTCTCCCCTTCCTCTCTGCTCGGTCCTCAATCGGTGAGTCCTCAGCCTCTACTCTCTCTCTCTCTCTCTCTCTCTCTATCTGATTAATTTAATGGGTTTTAGTTCTAAAACTTTATGTGTATCATTTAATGGATTTTTGTGTATAGGATTTGTTTTGGTTGCTTGCTGTAACCCTCATTGTTTCATGCCACTCTAATGCTGAGTACTCCGAATAGAGCAAAAATGGGTAATGCGGACAATCCAATAGTTCGATCATCACGAGACAATGACATTTTGACCTAACTTCTTTCCTTCTTTTAAACCATTGTTTCATACCTATTGCTCTTTCTTTAGAGCATATTTCCAAGTTATCTCACCAAGGCCTTTTTGTACAAGTAAGACTAAGTGAAGCTTATGATGAGCATTTAGCTGTGAAAAAAGTACAGAAAGGGTTCTCAAATATTCTTATTTTTACTGCTTAGCAGGCAGATATTTTCACAGGGGGCCGAGATTAGCGAGGAGGAAATAGTGGAAATAGAGGATGAGTTAGTAATTAATGAATAATCATGTCTGGGAAAAGCTAGTGAGGATGAAGAGCTCTATTAATAACTCCTGCAAGTTAAAGTGTATCATGGGTTTGGAGATAGTGAAGTTTTAGTTCCTCTTCTATATATTTATTACCAGCTAGAGTCAATGATGATTAATACCACATCTGTTATACTTAGAAAAGTGATTTTGTTAATCTTCTGCATTTAGCTCTTCCCACACTATGCTGGCAACTGACGCGTGAAGCCAATCGATTCGCTAATAAAGTGTGAAGATTTAAGGCAGAGTTTAAGCCCAAGTTTAGTAATTTTTAATTATTTTACTGTTCAGCGAATTATGTATATAAATATTATGCAGTATGCTATTGAAATGTGTGTGATTTCATTAATGGGGCTACATAATTACAAGAACATGGAGTTGATTCAGTATTTAGACTTTTGTATTGTTGTTTTTAATAAAGCCCATTGAACTATTAGGATTTCTAATAAGTTACAGGCTATTCAAATTGGAAGCAGATAAATTTTAACAATAATAACGTTGGTTTCAGTTTCTTTACCCTTCTTTATGGTTTTTTTTCAATTAACATGTGAACTTATTAAAGATAAGTACTCTATATAGTAGCATTTGATTCTACATTTCTATGATAAGTTTGAGTTTCATCTCATTAGGCTCAGAATTTCTGCACTAAATTCAATTGAAGGGTTTGGGGTTCTTGGTCCACTTGATTCGGTTTTGAGCCAAGCTACTCAGGCTTTGTTTGGATCCACAGTTGAAACAACTTTAACCAGCTTATAAGCCTATAAGTATGTTTGCATGAGGCTGCACAATGTCTATTTTGTAGGTACATCCTGAGGCTGCACAATTCAAGAAGCATGGCCTAGAGTATTATAAATTGTTAGGCATACTTTTTAACAAAAGCACTGCAACAGGTGTATTTCATTATGCATCTACACAAGATCCACCAAATTCCGATGATGAGGTTCAACTTGAGAATGAGTATCTTCACTCTAGAGTCCATGTAAACCTTGATAAGGATGAAGATGACGTTGCCCTAGACGTAATTGAGCACGTTACGCATAGTGGAAAACGAAGTATTGAATTCTCTGATAGAAAGAAAAAGAAAGAACCTAAGTCTATGCGAATGGGAGAGGCAATTTAAGCATGGGCTGAGGCATCTAAAGCTAGAGCTGAAGCTCAACTTGCTAAGGTTGAGAGGTGGAGGTCGAGGAGTAAAGCTAGTGTTGGAACCCCATCATCTATTAGTTGTTCTATTACTGATTGTGTTGTCGTGCTTAATGAGATGGACCTCCTTAATGACATTTATGTCAAGGCAATGAAACAATTTACCCTCTCCGTGAATAGGGAGTTGTTTATGGCTGTGCCTATGGAGAGAAAGAAGGCATGGTTGGAAAGCTTATAAAGATATACTACTTGTAGTTTTATATTTAGTGATGAGCTATGTTTAGTGAAAATTTTACATTAACGTGAACTATTTTAGGTATAGTTTTATTGTTAGTTTATATGAACTATCTGTATTTGACAATTTCACATTAATTTTCAATCATATGCTTGATTCAGTTTTTGTATTTTACAATTGATTGATTTTATATGCACAATAATTATAGATTAATTTTATGTACAGTGAATGTATATGCTTTTTCTTAATCATAATAGATGTTTTTTTAGTTAATAGAAAATTTTGTGTTATTTATTTGTCATTCTATTTGATTTTTATTAAATTAGTCTTTTTACTAGTTTTATTAAATTAGTTTATATTATAATAAGTTATTAAGTGGTTAATTTTACACCTTTAAGTTGATTTTAAAAATAATTTTTAAAATTAATCATCCAAACAAGTTTTTATATTTTATTGTTTTTAAAAAATTATTTTTAAAAACAATCAACCAAACATGTCTTTTTGTTTTTTGTTCTTAAAATTTGTTTTCAAAAACAGTTTTTAAAAATTGTTTTGAAAACAAAAAAACAAAAAACAAAAAACAAATCCAAATAGGCCCAGTATCTCTTGTTTTAAATATAAAAACTAAATAATTAATTTAAAGATAATGAGAAAATTAGTTAAGTTTGTGTTGATTTTCGTAAATTATCCTATTTAATCATATATTAGAACTAACCTCAATGAAATTTTTTTACCATCAATAGGAATATTTTAGAGAAAAACTATAAATTTAAAAAATAAATAAATTAATATTTTATATTTAACATCAAACAAAGTGGATATAATAATTCATTTATTATTTTCAGTAATATTTTATAGAAAAAAATTTCAGCAAAAGAACCCTGTAATTAGTATTTTTCAATTTATACAACTAACACTTAAAATGAAAGTAAACCCAAATTGAAATTTTGAAATTAAAGAAAATGATAAAAATGGCCTTTTGTAAATAACAATTAATCCTGGAATAACAAGTCTTCATTGCAAAATAACAAGTGTTGATTTGGTATTAACATGTTTGTTCCTGATAAACAACAAGTGAAATAACATGTGAATCAATTAAAAATGACAACAATTTATTTAAGAATAATAAGTCCTGATTGTGAAATTACAAGTCTCAATATAAAATTAACAACACTTTTTTTTAGTACATAACATGTGAATCAATTAATAATAACAATAATTTATCTGGAAATAACAAGTCCTGATTATGAAATTACAAGTCTTGATTTGAGAC